AAGGAACCCATGTGGTTGCCAAATCTCACTTTTAGCAGGAGTTACAGGAAAAGAGTTCTACCACTTTTGTTTTTCCTTGTATACCATTTACTGCCGTTTTGTTTGTTTGTTCATCATCCCAAGGCTGTCCCCATGATGTCAGAGACAAACTGGTGACAAAAGCTCAGAGCCTGAAGACATGTACGTGTAGGGGGAAATATTCTTTATTACAGAGACACTGGTGTAATCGAGTTGCAAGCGGAGATGTGGCAGAGGCGGACCTACCAAGGGGGTTGAGGCTTCTTGAAAGTGTTCAAGGGGACAAGACCAAGGCCCTCCATCTGGCGCAGAGTGCTGTGAAGGCTGCCGCGTACCGCCCCATCCTTGCCTCTGGGGACCCTCCGTGGAGGTGAGCAGGACCGAAAGTGACAGGCTCTCAACCTTTTGAGAACCGCAGCTGGTCATTTTCCCAACCTGGTTCCAGCCTAATCCTGCAACTTCAGCTCATCTCGTTCCCCTTTTCCCCAAGATATTTTGTGCGTTTCTTCCAGGTAGGGAAGAGGCTAAAACAAAAAGCTGGTTAGAAATGTTCAAAAGAGGGGCGCCTGGGTGGCGCAGTCGGTTAAGCGTCCGACTTCAGCCAGGTCACGATCTCGCGGTCCGTGGGTTCGAGCCCCGCGTCGGGCTCTGGGCTGATGGCTCGGAGCCTGGAGCCTGCTTCCGATTCTGTGTCTCCCTCTCTCTCTGCCCCTCCCCCGTTCATGCTCTGTCTCTCTCTGTCCCAAAAATAAATTAAAAAACGTTGAAAAACAATTAAAAAAAAAAAAAGGAATGTTCAAAAGAGCGTGAGATCAACTCTTCTCTCGAGGTGAGGCTTTAAGGATGTTAGCGTTAATCCAATGAGCTCCACGTGTCCCACGGGACCCCTACTTAAGCCCCACAGATGTGACCACAACAAGGAGGTATGGGTCCACTGAGAACCAGACAGATGCCGTGGGGAGTATCCTTCTGACCCCAAACAGGATGGACTGTTCTAGCTCTAGCCTACTCATGGCCACAAGGGTGACCCCCCCCAACCTCCCAACCGGCCTCTATTGTTCTACTGCAAGATCACGCTTTTCCAGTAGTCCAGAACGGTTCATGGGATCTGAGCTATTCAAACGGATGTTTCCTGGGCCTAGAGACAAGGTTATGAAAACACCGGTTGAAATTGTCTAACTGTGATGATTCCGGGCAGGCTGTCCCTCTCACTATCCCTAGCGCAGCGCCCTGCCTTGTGGTTTCACTTCAGTCGTTACATCTCTGTGAAACTTTGGGGAAGTGCCTCAAATTCCCAAGCCTCCAGAGGTCCCTGGCTATAAAATACAAGGATGAGGCTCGTTGATTATTATTGACCTAGAGGACAAATCTCCATTACTGTCTCATCCAATAGAAGATGTGTGAGTGTGTGTGTGTGCGTGTGTGTGTGTGTTCATTGGAACTATTATTGAGTTCCGCACATTTTCAGAAGAGTTGAATTTCTATTGGTTTGGTGTTTCCTTCTTGATCTATGAATCAACAAACAGCCGACGGCTAGGGGAAGAAGGTCATCCCTTGACCTTCCCCTGGGACGATGCTAAGGAAGCACAGGTGGTGGGGAGTGAGGGCTGTGTCTGCAAGAATTTATGTCCCCGACTAAGTGGCTTGGCTACGGTCAGCCTGCCTTCTGGGAGAAGATGATCCTGGATGGCAAAGTCCTTCATACACACTTCTTCCCCCGCCCCCCAAATCCCTACTAGGCTTCTTAATGCAACCTGGTATTTTTCGTATCTTTTGTGCTTTCATACCTCTTTGTGCTTTAGCTTAAGTCCGGAGCATACGAGCAGTCATATGATTTGGGATGAGGTAAAACGTTGCCGGGTATGGTCTTTAATGCCATACGTACACGGCGGTCCTTCCTTTCCCCCGGTGAGTTACCCCCTACCCCAATTTCGTGTTTCCATAGTGTTTCCTGGGCATCCTCTCTCGTAATAGTGAAACCCTCTCTTTATGTATTTCTTCTGTCCGTCTTTCCCGCCCCCCACCCCATCCCACCCCTTGGCTGGGCACTCTGCTGGGTCAGCTTCTCTCTCTCTCGCATCTCTTTCAACTGCCACTTAGTCATCTATACATATATTTGTGAAATAAAAGCTGGAGTGAAATATGATTGACCCTAGAGCAGCGCTATATCCATTCCTGTCTCCAGGGACACTAGAGATTCTGGTCCGTCTTCCACCAGTGGACCCACATCGCATACATTTCTTTGGCCTTCATCTCCTGCCCGGATACCAGATGACCCACTATTATTACCTTGCCACATGTGATATTTTCACAATTAAAAAACAGTGGTCTCATGTATCTCATATCTTAAAATGACACATCCTCACCCCCTTGAGAAGCTAGAAATCATAGGCACTCCTCTCTTCCCATCCCAAGTCGTTACACAAAAGCCTGAGGAGAACTCCAACTCAACTTTATTTCCAGAAACGTTGGACAACAGGCACCTGCCTGGTTTTTCCACCTTTTGTCGGTCTCCCACGTGAACTTTCAGGAGTCAGAGCTCCAAGCACAGAATTCATAGCCCAGAAGTCTGAAAACGTCGCTCCCGTGTTCATCCCAAGGGGATCTGTTTGGCCCTGTTGGAGGAGCCTTGGTGCCCTGTTGTATCTAAAAGAACCTTGAGTGTGGAACAAGGGAAAGGCCACTGTGAGGAGAATTTGTCTGTGTAGGGGGTGAGAGGAGGGTCCTGACCAGGAGGAAGAAGGTTTGCGTGTGAATGCCTGAAATCTAGCCAGTTCTGTGTTATGGAGGGCTTTTCTATTGGCCTGAGCTTTGAGCAAGATCAATGCGGGCTCCCTTCTCTTGACATTCTCATAACTGTCCAATATGAGTAAAGATATAGCCTTGGAACTCTACAAAGACATATTGTTCTGGAAGGGGTATTGAGAACCTCTTCCCTTGTCTTCCTCCTTCAACTTTATCATCACCATTATTACCATCATCACCACTAGGGTTACCATGGTCCTCACTATCCATTGTGTCACTGAAGCTCTTCATTCTTTCCAAATACCCTCCATCTATTAATTCATTTTGGTTATCCCAGAAGCACTGAGGGGTAGGTGGGGGTAGGGATAAAATATGCCCATTTTAGAGACAGGACAACTAAGGTTTAGATGGCCAAGACACCGACAGAGGCAAGGATAGAACCCAGCCACCGCTCTTCCAACAGCAGAGAGGCAGAAGTTTTCTCTGGACAATAAGGGGGCTGAGGGTGGTCAAATGGGAAGGAGCAGGAAGGATAAGAAACGGGACAAAACAGAAGTCGGTGGCTTTCGTATACAGTTGAAAGAAAGATAAAGGGACTGCTGAATGCTTTCGCCCTTGTCGCTGCTGTGTTTCGAGCCGGTGGGTCTAAGGGGCAAGGCCAAGGCTCTCCTACGTTTCACGTACAGAGCAATAGTGGCCAAAAGCAAGGAACACGGGAGCAATGACAGCTGTGCTGCTGGGAGGCAGAATTCTCCTCTTCTCAGCTCTGAGCCACACGCGGCAGCCTTTCCAGAGGTGTGAACCCTCCATTCGAGGGAGACGAGCGGAAGCGAAGATTAAATATAATTTATGCTTTGCTAATTGAAATCAAATACAAAATTCAATCTTCCGTGAGTCGCAATGCTCGCGTTTAAATAGGGCGGAAGTGTGATTAACCTGACTCTTATCTTAGCAGGCTGACTTTACTTTCCTGGAGAGGAAGGAATTCCTTGGTCAACTTTCTCCCCCTGCAGAAGGGGACATGGCTTCCTGGCTCACTCCCGGAGTCACGAGGATCAAGCCAGAGTAGACACTGCAGAAAACAGAACTTAAACATGTCAACGTTGCTTCCTTTTCCAAACCGTGAGCTTTCAACCGTATCGCCAGACAGACCCTTAAAATAAAAACCTTCAAGCTCTCAAGGCTTTGGCCCCTGCCCCATTCCTCCAGAGGACGTAAGCCCTGCTGCTATACGCAAGTGTCTACGTTCTTTAGGTGGTGGGGGTGGGGTCCCCACTTTTATTTTCCAGCCGAGTATGGCCTATTGTTTTAAAAAAAAAAATTTTTTTTAACGTTTATTTATTTCTGAGACAGAGAGAGACAGAGCGTGAGTGGGGGAGGGGCAGGGAGGGGGGGGGGGGACACAGAATCCGAAGCAGGCTCCGGGCCCCCAGCTGTCAGCGCAGAGCCCGACGCGGGGCTCGAACTCACGGACCGCGAGATCATGGCCTGAGCTGAAGTCTGAAGTCTGTGCTGACGGCTCGGAGCCCGGAGCCTGTTTCGGATTCTGTCTCTCCCTCCCTCTGCCCCTCCCACTGGTGCTGTCTCTCTCTCTCTCTCTCTCTCAAAAATAAATAAAACATTAATTTTTTTTTAAAGAATGTTCTTGAAAGAACAGGTTCCTGAGCTCCACCCCGGAGCTCCTGGGTCTCCAAGAAGTCTGCAATGAGGCTCAGGAAGCTGTGGCCTGCAGAAACCCCACGGTTGCCCCCGATGGGCAGCTAGACCCATTCTTTGTTCTGCTGGCACATCAAGGCCCCAACCAGCCAGCCCAGAAAGCACTGTTCGGCAGCAGCATGCCTTTGCTTCCTTCAAAGAGGTGGGTTTATATGCACGTGCGTGTGTTTATCTGTATCTTCTCTTACTCTGGCGGTGAAGGTACGTATACACGTTGCCTTCCGCTCGATAACCACTTCCTCATCTGGCAAAAAGTTATTTGCGAGGTTGTTTCTGAGTCTAGCCTATCGGTGCATTTCTGGCCAGGATCCGTCAAGCTAGAGACAGCCGAGCTCCTTTCCAGAGTCCCTTCCCTTGTGCCGTTTCCAGAATTATCCAGCCCTGTGGACAGAATCCCCTGGCAGATTCTCAAATCTGGGTCTTTCCGGCCACCTCGGAGAAGGGGCCAGTCCCAGAGTGGGAGGGGCGGGGAGGGGGGTTGCAGGTGACTGATACAAACACGCCAGCCGAGAGCCCGTTAATCAGGTTGCATTAAGCTTTATAACAACACGGTTTTCATTTAGCGGGAGAAATGACAGTTTCATAGCAGCCGAACAGACTTAGCTCCCCCCCACTCATACATCTTTTTAAATTTACTAGAACAGTCCTGGTTTGGGAGATCTGTGAACAAGGACTTGACGTCAAGTGCTGCGTTTCCATCGAATCAAAGTAATGGGAAGGGACGCTTCGTTCAGCAGCCCTTGGTGGGGGGGGTGTCCACAGACAGCCCTCGCCCTCGCCCACGTCCACAGACGGGATCTGACGGCCCTCCACAGAGGGAGCCCCAGTGTGTGCCATCTCTGCAGAGAGCAAATAAAGCACCAGATGACCGCGAGGCGGGACGTGGAGGGGCGAACAGAAGCATGGTGACCGATCCCCTGTTCGTTGCGTTGCTCAGGATTACTCCTAACAGAAGACATGCCCACTCTCCCGTCCTCGCCCCTCTGGGGACCCTAAGGGACGGAGCCCACTCTTAGAGCATTTCTTAGAACCACGGTTCTACGGGTCTTCACGTATGAAGACCGCCCACCGAAAAGTCTGGCCTTCTTTCTTCACCCCCAGAAATAGCACTTATCTGTTTCAACCCCAGGGCTCAGAACTCAATGGCAATCACGCTGCTCCGAGAACAGCCACGCGGGCCCGAGTCTATCACGAGGGCCCGCGCTAAGCTCCTCCACAGCCCGGGACACTCGTGGAGAGAGAAAGACCCAGCCCTTCCTAGAGGGCCCTTGGAAAGAAGCCTTCCAAGAGTGTCAGCTTTTTTATTTTTATTTTTCTGGTGAGGAACGTGCATGCCTCCGCCTTCATAAGGTGGGGAAGGGGGAAGTCACAGGGTTGTGGGATGAGACCTCTAAGGAGAAGGTTAGAGACGCCCCAGAGAAAGGACCTGGCTCCCTGGGAGTCCTGGAGTACTCAGCCACAAGGAGCATTCTGGAGAGGTGCCAAAGCAAAGGTTTATACAGCAGAGGGCTGTGCCAGATGCAGGGCTAGGACTCAGGCTTCTCAAGTGACCAAAGTAGACCTTCCTTTCTTTTCTTTAATCACTTAACCAAACGCTCCTGGCACGGTCTCTGACCTTGACAGCTATCTATCCCGTCTTCAGACTCCATTCATTAGCAGAAGACGAGAATCAGCAGTGGCTCCTGGTGGCCATCTGGTCAACCAGATGCCGCCGCCCGGGCAAACCTGGTGCCTCCGTGAGGATGCCGTGGGATCCACCCCTTCGCCTAAACCTACAGCGCTGGAAGCGATCGTGGCTGGACACAGGAGGGGATCGGCTTGGCACTCCAGCGAGGCTGAGGCCGTGGACCCCGGGGGGATTCAGGACTCAGGTAAGGAGCCTGCTTAGCTATTCGCTAGCCTTCCCTCCGCTTCCTTAGCCTCATTTGTCACCCTCTTCCCGTTCCCACTGGAAATCTTGGCCAGTCATTTGGTAAAACATCATGTTGAAGGGTCTGTAGAATTTCTGCAGTCTGTGGATCACATCTGGGTCGATGCGGGGATGAGTCCGACCTTTGCTCTTGCCTAAGCATCTGGGGGCACCGCTGTCTTCTGGCTTCTTGAGACAAGGGAACCCCTTGGTTTTGTTGAAATAGAAATGCTTTTCAGTCACCGCACGCTTGAGGCCCAGAAAATCCTGTACTTTGGCCATTTCCCCGGCAGGGTCCACTATGAGTCGCTCACCACTGACAAAGAGGATTTGGGAGAGGGGGAAGTATTGGAGCCAGTTTTCCAGGTGCAGAGCATAGATCCCTATTCGAATGGCGCTCCAGGAGGCGTCGATCAGCCCTAGGGTCCGGTTTTTGAAGGCCAGTACCTCGAAGGTGGGGATCTCGGGTTTCTTGGACAGTGTCTGGGTGTAGTCGGAGATGGCCCTGGTCACGGGGTTTCTCACCACCACAATGAGCTTGATGTCCTTGGCCATGGCGTGGATACGCTTGGGAGCCTCATTCGTCACAAAGTAACTCGGCGTCTTCTCCATGGTCACCTGCCCATCCAAAGTCTTAGGCATCACATTTCTGGAAGAGGAAGGCAAAGGAAAGAGAGGGTCAATTCCCACCCAGAAACACTTTAACTTTTTGCACGAAACGTGTGCCAGCCCGATCGAGAACTACAAAACAAAATGCGCTGACAAACCCTGGGACTTCTTTTCTAACTCTGTGCCCACTCTCCACTCTGATCACAGTATCATCAGAAAAGGCAGCACAAGGCTTCCGAATTCACTCTTGGGGACCTCACATACCTGGGTTTAATTCTGCTGCCCTATCTCTTACCCAGTGCTGTTCAACTGGGACACACTCTTAATTTCTCTGTGTATTCGTTTTACATAATCTCTGAAATGGAGATGATGACAGCACTTACCTCGCACCGTAGTATAAGGCTTAAGGGAGATAACACTTGTAAAGCATTTAGCACAGAATCCGGCACGTGCGAGAGCTTAGTAAGTCAAGGATATTATTGTTGTCACAGCAGCTTTTGGAAAAGGTCTGAGCGCACCAAGAACTCAAAGATGATCTAGCCCAAGGGTTGGTCAACGACCACCTGCCCCTTGTTTTCGTACGGCTCACCGCGAGGAATGGTTTTTCATCTCTCAACGGTTGGAAAACACCCAACATAGTAATAATAACATTTTGTGAGGCATGAAAATTATATGAAATTCAAATTCCAATGCTCATACATAAAGCTTCTCTGGAACACAGCCGCGCTCACCCCCTGATGTACTGTCTGGGGCCACTTCTGTGCTACAACAGCAGAGCTGAGTACTTGCAACGGGGACTTACTGACACACAAAGCCAAGCATATTTACTGTCTGGTCCTTCGGGAAAGCATTTGGCGAGAATTGACCTAGTCCAAAGGCGTCGCGGGGGAAAGGAAGACATGAAGCCCAGAGGCCGGGAACCGGACAGGCTTCGCGACCTTCACAAGGTGAGTCACGTCCCTCTCTCGTCCTTCCTCTGTAAAACCCTGAAAGCTCACCTGGAGTTCAAGTTCAGAGTAAAACGACACACAAATGCAGTTCTTAACTTTGCTCCCGAGGTTTGCCCAGCGAGCCAGGGGCAGGTCCCACACCACGTCTCTTGGTTTCCTTCCCAAGGTCGTGTCTCCAAACCCCACCCCTCCTTCCGTGTTCACCTTCAGAGTGGCCCTGTCTCATGTGAGAGCTTCAAGACATCAGAGGAGGTTGATGCTCTCTGTCCCCCCATCCCAGGGTGGTGGGCCTGTCAATGATAAGAGGCTCAGGATCCTATTATACAGTCAATTTGCTATAGGCATATGTAGACCAAAGTTAATTGATGATAAACCTGTTATACCGGTCGGTACAGCAGGCCATCTGCCACAATGTGCTCCACTCCATTAAGTCTATTCACTTCTGAGCCCTGCACCAAAGAGGTACATTTAGGATTACACAAGACCTCTTTGTTGTGAGGACATGCTTTTAAATGTCTCAGCTAATAAAACTTAATACCGACCACGATCCCTTAGCTTCCCCTACCATAATTAAATGTATTTACTATCGCGCGTGTAGAGAAAGAACGACTTTTCTTTTATCTCTAATTCACATGCTCCGTCAATAATTAATTGCTACTGGGTTTTGAGCTTTCTTGGCAAGCACCTTTAGGAGGCAAGAGGAACTTGCCTGGTAGAGAAAATTCACGTAGAGTCAGATGTTGTTAGCGCTCAAGGGTTGGACGGCCAGAAGTTTCCGGGTCAAAGCCAACAGCCCTGGCCATAGTCATGCTCGTCCCGGACTAACATATTGTCCAAGGTATTTTGAACGTTCTTCATGTGCCTGTTCGGCTCTCGTCACATTTAACTGTTTCATAAGGCCGGGGGGGGAGGGGGCGGGGGTCGGGGGTTGCAGGGCACGGAGCACAAAACGTGTGGGACTCCAGTGTGCAGGACTGCCGAGTTTCCGACCACCCACATCCCTCCCTTCTAGGATGGTAATGAAGATCCCATGAGGTAACAAGGGTAAATCACTTCTTAGAATAGTGCCCGGTGAAGGCCACGAAGTGTTATAACTGACACCAGGGGTACAAGACCACTGACACGGCAATTATTAGAGAAAAACAAGGAAAGAACATTTCTATCTGACCACATGGCAAAGCTGAACAACTGAGCTCAAGAACAGGTCTAGGGAAAAAGGCTAGTTTGACTCAAGCCAGTTATCGTCAACCACACATCCCTGACTGGTGACCCACGAGGGAGCTACAATGAGTTCGGCCTGAGTTTAAGGAACGTGTTGATGTCCTACTTTTATTTCAACTGGAGAGAGATATTCTCTCTCTTTGTAACTTATTTATTTATTTATGAGAGAGAGAGAGAGAGAGAGAGAGAGAGAGAGAGAGAGAGGGAAGCAGAGAGAGAGGGAGAAAGAGAACCCCAAGCAGACTCTGTGCTGTTAGGACAGAGTGTGATGTGGGGCTCAAACCCACAAACCGTGAGATCATGACCTGAGCCGAGATCAAGGGTTGGACACTCAACCCACTGAGCCAGCCAGGTGCCCCCAGAGAGACATTGTCTTAGTATGAAACTCATGTCACACTATGAAAATATTAAATCATTATTAATGCAAAAAAATACTTGAAGATAGGTATTTTCAACATGGCCCCATCCAGATGTTTAATTCCTCCATGTATTGTTGCCTATGGATTTTGTGGCCTTTTCTGTGAGCTCAGGAGCAGTTGCCAAGGTTTTCCTTCTCATTGGCCCTCTGCCATTCACTTCTTAGACCCCAGCGTTTGTCTTTTTATGGGGCCCCTTTCAAATTCATCTCCTGCACTTCAGCTAATTGCTACAGTCTGTCAAGACGTGTGTGGATCTTGAGTCCTCATCTGAAGCATCTGGAATGAAATGGCACCCCTCTTCCAAGCCAGTGTGTGTAGGGGAGTGAGCGTGTGCTCGGCTCAGTGCAAAGAGGAATGAGAGGAGGGGTGCTGGAGAAGGCAGAGGAGCCTAAGTGGCTTTGATCATGTGACAACGGAAGTAAAACATGTGGTTTGGGGAGACGCCTGGCATTTGGGCACCCAATGGTAAGACCATCTCAATGAAGCCATGATACAGCTGTGTGGTATGGGCTACCCAGGATTTTTTGCCAGTAAGAAGATACATAGCAGCTGTTCCCCATCCGGGAAGTAGTCATCTCCCCTTTTCAGAACTGATGCTGAATCAGTTATGTTCATTCATTCATTCCTTCATTCATGAAACCCCTTTCATTCCTAGAGTCCTTGATAGCTGCCTGCATCGAGAGCTTAGAATACTGTCATAATAGGATTTGTTCCCAGGCCCTTCCTGGCTAGTCTCAGTTCCTGAAAGCCGCGGGCAATGTTTTTTTTCCCCTTCGTGTCCCTCGCGTCTAACACAGTTCCCGCCACATATGGTAGCCGCCCCCCTAGCTCTCTGTGGTTGCCGGACGGACACACGAAGGACGTCCGGATGAAAGCATGATCCTTGGGCGTGAGGGGAACTGACGCCGTTTGGGGGGCCTGACCCTCCTGGGTAGGTTTTCCACGCGTGGCGGTTCGGCGTCTGTGAGACCCGTGTCATCCCTGTCTGAAAGACCATGCACTTCGGCGTGGACCATCTGGTAAGAAAACACCGCAGCTGGGCTTGGAACAGCTCGTTAACAGTATCCGGGGTGCTTAGAGCAGCCGTGACATCAACATCAACACACAGTCCTGAAGCGAGAATCGTTCTGCAAGATCACACATCTGCTCTCACAGCCCCAAATGTTGATGAGCCACCATCCAGAGCGCTCGCCCTCCCCGCCTCCCACGCCGGGGTGGTGGCGCTTTGCTACAGGATACGTGCCCGGGGGCCTCGCGGGAGATGATGCTAACAAGAATTACCATGCACTTGGGGCGCCTGGGTGGCGCAGTCGGTTAAGCGTCCGACTTCAGCCAGGTCACGATCTCGCGGTCCGTGAGTTCGAGCCCCGCGTCAGGCTCTGGGCTGATGGCTCAGAGCCTGGAGCCTGTTTCCGATTCTGTGTCTCCCTCTCTCTCTGCCCCTTCCCCGTTCATGCTCTGTCTCTCTCTGTCCCAAAAATAAATAAACGTTGAAAAAAAAAAATTAAAAAAAAAAAAAAAAGAATTACCACGCACCATTCACGGAGTGCCCACCCTGTGCTGTGCTCTCTGCTCCAAATTCAACGTCGGATGCCGTATCCACTCCTCGCAACGCCTCCAGGCATTGGCTTCTCCAGCCTAGTTGGTTAAGACCATAGACTCCGGACTTTCTGAGTTTGGATCCACTTATTAGCTGCGTGACCCTGGGCCAGTTACTTAACCCAAATTGGCCTGTGTCTCCGATCCACTCTCTGGGAAACAGACATCGTACTATTCAGATCCATCTCCGAGGGATTTTATGAGGATTTAATAAGTCAATATCTAAAAGGGTCCCTTACACATTGAAGGCCCTGAATACATTAGCTGTTAATGTTTAAACACCTCTCTTAAGAAGATACTACCCTTAGGGCAGGAAACTGAGGCCCAGTGAAATTGATTAGCTCGCCCGAAGTCACAAGAAGTGGCCTTGGAAGTCAACCCCAGCTCTGTCTCGCACCACAGCCCAAGCTCTTTGTTGCTGCCCGACAATGCTTAACGGAACTTCAGAGGCTCAGCAAGGTTGCGGGACTGGCCCAAGGTCACTCCGCCAGGGGGTGGCCGAGCTGAATGTAAAAATGACACTCATCACACATGTTGTAAAGGTGGACTGTCACTGACTTACCACTGGGAGTTGCGGCAAACCCAGGCCAGAATCCCCAGAAATTCTTGCCAGGTCAAGCTACATCGTTCAATTTGTGATATCTCTCTCCGGGGCCTCCTCAATTGAAGCAAATGGATGCCATCATGAGCGCCGAGGGAGAAAGCAATCACCCGTGTTAGATATAAAGTGCCCATTCTCTCTGGAAGGGTCAGTGGCACAGCTTGCCTTTGGCTTGCCTGATTTGGAGGTACGTGGGCAGCCCACATTTCCCCAAATGCATTTTCCGGTGGAACAAATGGTGCATAAATTA